TGGATTGCCTGAGCCTGTGGGCTCGAGACCAACCTGGGCCTCTTGGAGAGACCTCATCTCCACAATAAATCAAAAAATTAGCCGGGCTCGGTGGGCTCAGCCTGTAATCCCACGCCTTTGGGAGGCTGAGGTGAGTGGATTGCTGGGTTCGAGACCCGCCTGGGCAACTTGGCAAGACCTCATCTCTACAATAAATCAAAATGAGCCGGGCGTGGTATCGCACGCCTGTAGTTCCAGCTACTCGGAAGGCTGAGGCGGAAGGATCGCTGGAGCCCAAGAGGTCAAGGCTGCGGTGGCCGGGAGCGGCCACTGCACTCCAGTCTGGGCGACAGAGTGAGACTCCAACTCAAAAAAATAAATAAAAATAAAAAATAATAAAAGACAAACTTAGAGTGAAAAAAATAAACAGTATAAAGCAATCTTGGGGAAGAGGATTGTAGATTATCAGTAGCTCTCTGGGAAAATGGTTTTGCCCTTGGCTAATGACTAGAGGGTAAATTAAAGTGAACTGCTAGAAAAGCATGACAAAGCTAAGCAATGTTAAAATGGCTGCTCTTTGGCTAAGATTATTCTGTTAAATTTTCCATTTTGACATTTTACCCTTTCAAACTTCTTTGACTCCATGCCCCTCCCTCTGAGCACACTGGGAGGGCAGCTGAGTCCCCCAAACCTGAACCTGAGACAAAGGACCGATACCCAGAATCCACCCCCAAGCAAAGCCTCAGACAACCCTGCTCCTATGGCTTTGGTGGGAGCAGTCACAGGTTGGGATCTCATGCCTGCAGCTCTCGCAGCCTGGCACTGCACATTGAAATCTCGACAATTTTGAGGTCTCTGTGGTGGCCCCACTTCAATAGTTCCACTAGAACACACGAGGATGCTGCAGCAGCTCCAACCCCACAGTTCTGTGGGGCATCGTCATAGTGGGGCTCTGCAGTGCCTTTGCCCCTGCAGGTCTCTGCCTGGGCCTCCAGGCTGTACCCCTTGGAAACCTGGGTGAAGGAAGCCATGCTCCTACAGTTCTTGCATTCTTCATACCTGCAGAATGAACCTTAAGTAGATATTGCCAGAGCTCACCACTTGGGCCCTCTAGAGCCATGACTGGGTGGCTGAGTAGCACTGTGCATATGGCAGCAGAGGCCCCAGGTGGCCCTGAGCAGTGAGCCCTCAAGTCCCAGAGGCACTGTGAGCCAGGTCCCCCAGACCTTCTGCCCTCAATGCCCTTGGTCTCTGCTCATGTGATAGCAGGGGCAGCCTAGAAGATGTCTGAAAAGTCTTTGAGGTCTTTCCCCCATTGTCTTGGTGAATAGCATCTTTCTTCTAGCCATACTAATCTCTTTATCAAGGTGTAGCTTTGGCCACACCCTTGTATTCTCTCCTGAACACACTTTTTAATTGTTTACATGGCCAAGTGCAGAGTTTTCCAAATCTTTATGTTCTGATTGCCTTAATTGTAAATTCTGTTATTAAATCATTTCTCTCTTCTTGCATGTTACTATATGCAGTTAACAGAAGCCATGCAGCATTCTCAATGCTTTGCTATTTTTCTGCCATCACTCTTAAATTCTGCCTTTCATAAAGTCCTAGGATTCTAAGGCATTTCAGGCAAGTTCTGAGCCACTTTGTAAGAAGGATGGCCTTTCCTCAGTTCCTAGTACCTTGTTCTTATTTCTAACCACAGCCTCATCAGAACGGCCCTTACTGTTCATGTTTCCATCAACATGGATTATGACCACTTAAGCAGTCTCTAAGAAGTTTCACACTTTACCTGCTGCTCACATTTTCTTTTGAACTGTGACCAGAATGGCCCTTCATGCTCTGTTCACTGCAACCTAGGCATTTTCTAGCCTGCTCATTCACATTTTTCGAACCTTTGCCCATTATGCAGGTCCAAAGTTGCTTTCACATGTTCAGGCATTTGTTAACAGCAGCTTCCCACTTCTCTGGTACCACTTCCTGTATTAGTTCATCTGTGCTGTTGTAACAGCATACCTGAGACTAGGTAGCTTACATTGATCAGAAAGGTAGTGGCTCACAGTACTGGAGCCGGGAAGGTCACCATTAAGGTGCCGGCATCTTGAGAGAACCTTTACTGCTGTGTCTTCACATGGTGAGAGGCAAGAGGGCGAGATGGCCAGACTTGTCCTTTTGTAAAGCACCAGCTTCGACCTTGAGCAGGGAGCCACACGGCCTCTTGATGCCACTACAATGGCAGCTGCATTTCAAACATGGCTTCTGGAGGGTGCGAGCACTCAGATCCTAGGAACCCTCTTTTGTTTTCTGTTAAGACATTCCTCTGACTTTATTTTGGGTTTTGCTGCTTTCATAGTTTGTTTTAATCAGTATACTATCAAGACACTAAAACATAAGGCATTGAAGCTGTGCTTAGGGATTAAAAAAGCAAGATGAATGTAAAATGATTATATTTTTATGTCCTTTATAGCTAATAACTTATCTTGTTTGAAGGCCTATATTGGTTGTGGGAAGTCTTACAAATGTATTATTTTGTATTTTTTTAAATTTTCAAGCCAATAATAGGGGCTTATATCTTAAAAAGCATTTTTACACATTATTTTGTAATGTTCTGACAAGTCTGATTTTTTACCATGGTCCTTTGTGTATATCTTTATCAGACATGTACTTGGAGGCAGAATTGCTGAATCAGGATATATAGCCACACCATGAATAAGGAGTTGCCAACATACTAAGAGTCAAAATTCTGAGTCCTGTATAGCCAGCGGTTGAGAGCTGGCTCATGCCAGAAAGAAACTCTCTACTGCGACTGTAGCAAGTAAGGGGTTTATATAGTAAAAAAACCCACAAGGTTACAGAATTTCAGTTCTGGGTAGGGAACAAAGATTTTTCAAGGTACAGGTTGCAAAGACCAGGAACATCTTTTTCTTACTGATTTATAAGACCTTTTTATAATAATATCTTGTGGCAGATATATTACAAAGAGATTACTCCTCCATTCCAAGTATGGCATTTCCCTTTGTTTTGCCTTGTTTAGTTGTCTAGAGCTTTGCCTTTAAATTTTTCAATTTTAGTTTTTGGGAGTTTTTTTGGCACAGACATTAAAATTTTTATTTTAAATTTTTTAGTGGAAAATTTTCAATCTCTTATTGAATGTGTCTTTCCCCCTTTTGCCTTTATGTTCAAAAAGTTCTTCCCTATCCAGTGTGCTTTAGGGTAAAACTCTCAAGCTATGTTTTCCCTTTGCTCTCACACTGCCACGACAAAGGTTGTCAAACCAGACTTTGAGATCAAACATGGGGAGGTTTTCTCCACACACCAAGCAGTGGACACCAGCTAGGTATCCTCCAGTCCAGCTCTGACACTAGCTACCTGGAGACAGAGTCAGATCCCACAGGCTGAGGACTCAGTCCCGCAGTCTTTCCCCCCAGTCGTAAGTCCAGGCCTCCAGAACTTCTGACCAACTGGGTTCAGGTTGGGGTTTCCATTACCCCCTCTTTGGGTTTGATTAACTTTCTAGAGCAGCTCTCAGTACTCAAGGGAACACTTACTTACATTTGCTGGTTTATTGTAAAGGATACAGAGGAACAGTTGTGTAGGATGAGGTGGGGGGAGGGGCATGGAGCTCCCATGCCTCCCGGGCACCACACTCCGGGAATCTCCCCACATGTTCAGCTATCCAGAAGCTCCCCAAACCCTGTCCTCTTGGGTTTTATGGAAGCTTCATGACATTTGCATTCATTTCCCCAGGATATAGCATGGGACCCAGAGAGGGTCTTAAGACCATAATTAGAAGGCCAGGAAAGATCAGAGTCCTGCCTTGGGGCAAGTAAAGGAAGACAGGAGAAGGTCTGAGAGATTCTGTTTCCTGAGGCTGCCCCTGAGGTCTGACACACCAACATTATAGTGAAAGATTGTTATAAAGGCTGGACCCAGTGGCTCACACCTGTAATTCCAGGATTTGGGGAGGCCGAGTCTGGAGGATTGCTTGAGCCCGGAAGTTCAAGACCAGTCTGGGCAACATAGCAAGGCTCTGTCTCTACAGAAAATTTAAAAATTAGCTATGAGCGGTGGTGTGTACCTGTAGTCCCAGCTACTTGGGAGACTGAGGTAGAAGGATTGCCTGAGCCTGGGAGGTTGAGATGGTGGTGAGCCGTGATTGTGCCATTGCACTCCAGCCTGGGTGACACAGTGAGACCCCCCCAACTCAAAAACAAACAGACAAACAAAAAAATTGTAACAAGGGCGGTGGGAGTTATGAGCCAGGAGCTGTGGATGAAACCAGTACATAAATATATATAATACCATGCAATGATTACATAAATTGTCATTCAAGTAAGATTGATAAATTTAGGGCTTTTTAAAAAATGTAAGCCGGGCTCAGTGGCTCAGCCTGGAATCCCGTGCTTTGGGAGGCTGAGGTGAGTGAATTGCCTGAGCCCGCGAATTCGAGACCCGCCTGGGCAACTTGGCGAGACCTCATCTCTACAATAAATCAAAAAATCAGCCAGGCGTGGTAGCACGTGCCTGTACTTCCAGCTACTTGGAAGGCTGAGGCAGAAGGATCGCTGGAGCCTAGCAGGTCGAGGCTGCAGTGGCCAGGAGCGGCCGCTGCACTCCAGTCTGGGCAACAGAGTGAGACTCCAACTCAAAATATATATATATATATATATATATACACACACACACACAATTTCTTATTGCTGATTATTTAAACTGAACTAATTGATATGAACTTAATAGAAGAAATGGCTTTCCTCCTTTCTTTTAAACATGGGATTTCTGCTAGATGTCGCTTAATGGGAGTTGATATTAGGGAAAATAATTTTTCTTTTGTTTGCAGCATTCAACAAGAGCCAGTGGATCTTTTGATTTTATAAATGATATACTTTTGCCCCAAAGGTTAAGTATGAAAATAATGAAAATCTAAACCAGTGTTTTAAATGCCCCACATAGTTCTGGTTTTACTTTGTTTTCTATTTTCTTTTTAGCCACTTCCTGATTACAGCACTGTTTGTGTTTTGTAGGATCTTTACAGCCTTTCCTGGAAGCCTGTAGCAACTCTTTATTTTTTCGTACTTGCTCTGTGCTGCTTCGAACCCCTAAGCTTGACCTTCAAATACTAGAAAAGCTCAGTATTATTCTACAGAAACTTTCCAAAATCAAGTAAGTAAGAATTTCCTCTTTCTGATTGTTTAAATTAAAACATATCTTATTGTAATCATGTAGACTTTTCTGAATCCCATATTATTTCAACTTTGATTATTAAAGAAAAAATTTCAATATTGTAGAAAATTAGCTTCATGAATATTAATGCTGATCTACAACCACATATTTAGAGATCACTAGAATTAGAATGTTAATCTTAGAACGAGTTATTTCTGTAGTTCGTTTCAGCTAAATGAACTTTAAATACCACAGACAGGATATAAAATTGAGAGCACATTTTAGCAACCATGTGATAATATCAGAATAAGTCATTGCATACTGGTGTTCTGCACTGTCATAGGTGAAAATAAAAAAGGTAATAAAAATGCATTTTGCAGTTTCGTATTGATATACTAAAGTGAGTTTAGGGAATGAGAATGAAGCAGGCAGAAGAGATTGTAAATGATTTTAGTAACTGAGTTTATTTTAGAAAACTCTTACAGTTTCCTACTGACACTAATTTAGATTTTATCTTGAGAATTTAGAGCTTTTTATTTCATCATCTTTCTCCTGACTCAAACTACTGGTGTAATGAGCTTTTTAAATTATGAATAAGGACATAGATTTTAAGCTGTATTTTCCTTAAATCTTGTTATAGTCTAGCGTTTCCTTTGAGGAATATCTGTACACTTTCTATCTTATCTCATTTTTATAACAGTCAAATTTGATTTTGATTTTGGGTCAGCTCTTCTCTCTCTAACCTCATTCCCTCATCTGTGATTTCCATGGCACATAATTTAGATCTTTTACCAGGCTTCACTTTACTTGAACAGTAATGCAGTGCATCTTTAAATTATTTGTAGATAGAGATTAATGGATCCATATGTTCTTTTTGGCACTATGCCCTGCATACTGTAGTAAATTACTAATTGTCAAATTATAGCATTATCCTCCACTGACCAAATTATTAATTTTGGTCTGATATCCATTAAGCTTACCAATTTGTCTTCCTTTTTGTGTAGACTATACCATGATACTAGTAAATTCTTAATAACATCTGTTGCAGTTACCCTGTAGTACCATGAAGCTGAAGTAACATTACTTAAATTTAATTATTTTTTAGTTCTTCATGGAATTTTTAAAAAGGAGTCCCAGTGCAAGTATATCCCTGGGCCAAAATATTTTACTATTCATGTTGTGTTTTATAGCTTAGGTTAATTTCAGACTTAGATAAAAAAAAAAACTAGGACAAAGCTTGAACGAGAAGACGGAATAGTTGATGCTCAAGCAAGTCCTAAAATAAATCTTTAAAACCGCATATATGAGGTTATATGATAGTTTTTCTCAATAGGTAAGTATATCTAGACAAGGAAATGAGAAATTTGTTATAATATATAATTCTAACTAGTTGAAAATAAAATTACTGATTGGTTTATAGAGAGAGGATAGTTGAAAAAGTATTCTGGAGCCAAGTCAAAAGTAGGCCAATATTCTGCCACTTTAAAAACCCTGGTTACTTAAAATAAGGTAAGCAAATGTTTGTTTCTAGCAGTGAAAAAATAGAGAAAAAAAATTCTCAAGCTCTATAACAGTGATTAGGTGTGTTTTTCAGGATTATAAAATGTTTCCTTTTTTTCCTGAATGTTTTAGCCTTAATCTTAATCTTTTAGTCGCGTATTTTATCTGCGATTTTATTTTTTTTATCTTTTTTTTTTTTGAGTTGGAGTCTCACTCTGTTGCCCAGACTGGAGTGCAGTGG